GCAAACTGGTGCAGCTGCTCTGGAAAACAGCAGAGAGGTTCCTCAAAAACCTGAAAATAGAACTACCTTATGACTTAGCAATTCCACTACTAGGTATTTATCCAAAAGATACAAAAATGCTGATTCGGAGGGGCACATGCACCCCAATGTTTACAGCAGCCCTATCAATAATAGCCAATTATGGAAAGAGACCAATGTCCACCATCTGATGAATGGATAAAGATGTGGTATATATAAACAATGGAATATTACTCAGCCATCAAAAAGGATGGAATTTTGCCATTTGTGATGACATGAATAGAACTAGAGGGTATTACACTAAGCAAAATAAGTCGGTCAGAGAAAGACAAATACCGCATGATTTCACTCATATGTGGCATTTAAGAAACACAACAGATGACCATAGGGGAAGGGAAGGAAAAATAAGATAAAAACAGGGAGGCGGACAAACCATAAGAGACTCTTAAATACAGAGAACAAACAGGGTTGCTGGAGGGGTTTTGGGTGGGGAGTGGGCTAAATGGGCAAAGGGCATGAAGGAGGACACATTTTGGGATGAGCACTGGGTGTTATGCGTAAGTGACGAATCACTAAATTCTACTCTTGAAACCAATACTACACTGTATGTTAACTAACCTGAATTTAAATAAATAAATTTTAAAAAGAAAGCAAGGAGAGCATGCAGCAGAGGACATAGCGGGGAGACAGAGAGAGAGAGACAGACAGACCGACAGAGAGAAAAGGGAGAGGCAGTCTAGGTAGGGAAAATGGTGTGCTAAGGCCCTGTGGTAGGAAGCATGGGACAGTTGAGGAACAGGAAGAAGGCTAGTGTGGCCAGAGCCTGGAGAGTGAGAGGAGTCTGGAGGGGTGGCCACTGGTTAGACTGTAGGAGGAGCCTTGTGGGTCACGGTAAAGGCTTTGGATCTTAACCTGAAGAGCAGTGGGGAAGTCCAAGCTGGAGCTAGGGGAAGAGGCCAGAGGTGCGTTTATGGCTGGATTTACATTTGAACAGATAGCTCTGGCTTTGGAGTGGACAATGGATGGAGGTGGCTGGGGGTGAGGCAGTCTTACTGCTATGGTCCGGGTGAGGCATGATGACGGCTGCAGGTGGGTGATGGCATGAGGCTGAGTGAGACAAGCCGAATCCAGAGCTCTTTGGGGAGTAAAGTGACAGGTCTGCATCCCATCCCTCATCCTCCTAGACCAGGAGCAACCAGCCTCGATCCAGACTGACAGAACATACCGACCTCTGAAGACGTAAGTCCGATTACAGAAAGGGATTTCAGAAAGGTGACGCTCGGAGCCAGCTGGGGCCGTATCAAGCTCAAGTACTTTGGGACTGTTCTGACTATGGCTGGAGAGATGGGGAGCCAGACCTGGTTCTAACCAGGTGTCCCCAGGGGCCGTGTGAGCAGGGGAGGGAGTGTGCACAGAATGTGGTAGTGGACCTGAGGGTACGGCGCGAGGCTCCACTGCGCCTCCTCTCCTATTTCCAGGAGAGAAGGCACCTGCCTTATGCTTTTCTTTTCTATCTTGATAAAGAAGTTGCGACTTTTCGTGTCACCAAGCACACAGACTTGTGACTTGCTCCCTGTATGTGTAATACATTCATGGAGTTCTAGTGTATTTATCTTATTTTTCCTCTGGGAAAATTGGCAAGGGCAGGGGAATTCTCTCTTCTATTCCCACTCTGGGACTCTGGAAATGGGAATCAGGGGAGGAAGAGCTTGCTGGGGCATAGCGACAAGGAAGGGTCTCTGGAAGGCACCTCTGGAGCCAGGCGGGAGCAGGGAGCCACACCTGGTTCCAAATAGCCTGGGCTCACTTCAACAGGCCACGACTAGCTAGGACGAGTCTGAGCTGGTCCTAAGCAAGCAACGGCAAGTTGAAGTCACTTACTGTATTAACGGCCAGTATATGCTGATTTGAGCCAATCTGGATCACTCTCCTGAAGTCAGTCTGAATTGTGTGATGCACTTAAAACTAAGCACAATATTTGAATTCACTGGCCTATTTAGAGCCTCTTCCAGCTGGTTTGGGTGCCTCTCTATCTTATGAATTATTATTGTCCTCGTGTGTGTGTGTGTGTGTGTGTGTGTGTGTGTTCCATGTTGACTTCTGCCTCTTCTGCCTCTAACTTCTTGGAAAGTGAGCTCCGTCAGGGCATGACAGAGGACCGAACTTAGCTCTAGATGCAGGTAAGTGACAGGAGGTGTTCCCTTGGAGGTTCTCAATCTTGACATTTCCCCTCCGTAGGCAAGAGACCTGAGGACACCTTTCAGGGTGCTGGCATCCTGGATGGGGGCCTGCCAGGAAATTAATAGCCCACTTGACTGAAGAAGGGTCCCTGGGAAGACCCTATCTGCAGAGCAGCCTTTCGGGCCAGACCCCAGCGGCTTCTGAGCTGGCTGAGGCTGATTTATTAACTATCCCCCAAAACAACCCCAGTCTTTTTCATGCAGCCCAGTGTATCCACACAGTGGCACAGCCTGGTAGTGTATCTGGAATACGAATAGTCTGGAGAAGTATGGACAAGGCAGTGTCTGGATCCCAAGTGCTGTGATTTGCATACTATGCCTGCTGTGTTTATAACATGTATCCTGCCCAGCTCCGAATGGGTTCAATGGGGATGAATTTTGATGTAAGTTCTTCTTTCTACCACAGCCCAATTTCTTCTTTCTACCACAGTGTGCGCGTGCGTGCGCACACACACACACACACACACACACACACACACACACAGATGTGTAATTCTGGTCTATATTTCTCCAGAAACATCCCTGGGAAGGCTTTTCCCCAATTAATTGCAAGCCTGACGCTGCCATCAATTCCTGACCTGGTCCCCAGCCTCCTGCTCTGCCTGCCGCCCCTCCCCTCCCACAGCACCTGCACATGCTGTTCCCCACCTGGAAGGCGCCTGTTCCACCATTCTTTGCCTCGTTAGCTCCCGGTCATTTCCCAGCTTACCGCTCAAGTACCGCTTACTTCCTTTAGATGATATGTTTGTAGTATATGCTCTTAGAATGTTTCTTATCATCGTTTATGATCATACATTTTTGTGGGTAAGTGGTTAGCTGATCCACGACACCATAAAAGTCATCTTTTAACATATCTTACCAGGTAATATCACCTAGTAGAGTGTCCCTCCACCTTAGCACTATAGACGTTCAGGGCCCAGTAATTCTTTGTTGTGGGGCCTATGCTCTGCATTGTAGGATGTTTAGCACATCTCCGTTGTCTACTAGATGCCAGTACCACCCCTCAGTTGGAACAACCAAAAATGTCTCCAGACAATGCCAAAGGTCCCCTGGGGGGTGGCGCAAAATCACTCTCGGCTGCGAACCGCTGACCTAGAACAACTCTGTAAGAAATCTGGGATTTCAAAGGCTGGCTTCCTGAGAGCCCCTTTACTGAAGCCCTGATCTCTTTCTAGCCCAGCACTGTGCGACAGAAATTTAATGGGAGATACATACGTAACTGTAATTGTAAATGTTCTAGTAGCTGCTTTAAAAGAAGGTAAAAAAAAAGAAAAAAACCCAGGTGAAATTAAATTTAATAATATATTTGATTTGACCCGATATATCCCAAATATTGATATTTCAGCATGTACTCCATGTGATTATTATTAAGAATACTTTCCATTCTTTTTTTCCCCTGCCAAGTCATCAGAATCTAGTGTGTAATTTTCTCAGTTTGGACTAGCCATATGTCAAGGCTCAAGAGCCACATCTTTATATCTATATCTATATCCAAATCTATATCTATATCTACATCTACATCTACACCTATATCTAGACAGGGCTGAGAGGACAGGCTTAAGTTTTCTCAAAGTGCACGTGTGGCTGGCCCACCCCGTTAGCTCGTCACTAGGTTGCACTCCCACCCCTCCGCAGAGCCATGCACAGCCCTCTTTTGCCCACCGGCGTCTACAGGTTATCATCCATTCGGAGCACCCCATGGTGGCCCTGACAGTCGTGCCCATGCTCTGGGAGGCCAGCCCACCCAGTAATCATCCGTTAGTAGCTAATGGATAGGTGTGCTGCATGTGAGTTCACGGGAGGCTGGAGGGTCCCTGTCGCACACACGGGGGGGAAACACACTGTTTCCAGGTTCCCCAAGCAAGTGTTCCACCCACCTCCAAGCCACTACCTGTCCTCATAGTCACTGCTCACAGGGAGGCTCAGACCTCCCCCAACACTGGCCACCTTTACAGACACATTCTATTTTCTTAAAACATAGATGTTCTCATCTCAAACGACACTCCGGCTAAGAAGTTGCTATCCCGAGGGAGATGCTGTCTCTAGTCCTGGGACTTGCCCTGAGTCCCCAGGCCACTCTGCAGGGACATGGGCTGGCTGGGGCAGTGGCCCGGTCCTGCAAGATCATCCCTGCAAGTTTCTCCAGACTTCCATCTCTTTCTTATCTCTAGGTCTCTGCCCTCACACCCTCATCTCCAGGCTGTGCAGCTTCCTGGGAGTTCTCCCCATGGGACCTGCCTGAGGAATTGCTTCCTGCAGCCCAGCCCAGGTAGCTCCTGCAGGCTCGACAGAACACCCACCCAGGCCTTGGGAATGAGGGCTCTCACCCGGACCTGGCTGTTTCCAGAAACCAGGGCATGGCCCTCCCTAGTGAGGGCCACTTTTGTCTTGGCTGTTGGGGCAAATCTTGAGCGTCAAGCATTTTCTAGTAAAGGAACAAAGTTTTCCCCAACTTGTCGCCTGGTCATTCTGAGCCACCCAGGAACTCGGCAAAACACAGAATACTGGATGAGGGCTAAATATCGACTGGGGAGCACTAACATGGCTACTGCTCTTTTGTAGTCTCAGGTCTGACCCCCCCACAGACCCCAGGAGACTCACTAGGAAGGCATGTCCCTTAGGAGGATGCCTTTGGAACGCCTGCCTCATCTGTCTCCCAGTGTGGCAGCTGGCTAAGCGTGTGCACGTGTTAGCCAAGAGACACACATTGTGCCCAGATCCGCCCCGGGAAGTTGGACTTACCCCTCCTGGTTTGCCTGATCTTTGGGCTCAACATATTCCACAAGCGTCCTTGTGCCGATCAAGCTGTCATCCACTTCCCTTTTCTCTTCCTCTTGCCCAGTTGCCCCTCCTGCCCCGCTCGGGCCCCCATGGTTGCTGGGCTTTATCGGCGAGGCTCCCTTGGCTCCCTCTCTTTGCTCTCGACCGACCGAAGGCTTGCCTTGGACTACGCAAACCTCAATGCATTATTTATCCATCCCAGAATTAATTCCCATCCAAGCGAACCAGTAAAAGGCTCCGTAACGGCTGCTGATCAATGTCGGGGCCAGGGCGGGGCGGCCTGGCTGGCGGTCCCTCGGCCCCGGGGCGCACGCGGCGCTGCTCATCCCGGAGCCGGCGCGCGGGGCTGGGCTCCCAGCAGGCGGGCGGACGGGCGGGGCGCGTCCGCGAGCAGGAGGGCGGCGCAGCCCGGGCCCGGCCGAGGGCGGGTCCGACGGCTCCCGACGGCTCCGCCCACCGCGCGGGGAGGGCCAGTCCCGCGCGCCGCTGGCAGAGGAGAGAGGCGGCCCGCCTGACCAGCCAGGGTGCCCGGGGAGAGCGCCCTCGGGGAGACGGGGGAGGCCCGTCTAATGGGATCTGCTCCGCCTGATGTCTCCTGCCAGGAGGGTCCAGGAGGCGGTTTATGAGCTCAAGGTTCAACGGTGAAAGACAGGTGTGTCTTAGAAGGAGCTTGCAGCCTGGGCGGCGTTCAGATCCCTAGGGGATGAGCCGGGCAAGCAGATTGTTAGGGATGTTTCTGCTGCCTTAATGCGGTGAGAAGAGTCAGAATGCACACGAAGTTCAGGGCCTGCACTTAGTAGGATCTCAAAAACATGCTAATTGTCATGTTTCTGATTAATACTAACATAACAATAAAGAATGCATAGCGGGACTTTTGGGGAGTTCAACCTCAAGAGCCTAAAAATTGCCCAAGAAATGCGATCACACTAACAGCTATCATTTATTAGAATTTTACTCTGTGTCTGGCATTAGGCTGGTGCTTTGTATTCAAAATGTCACATAATTCTCAAATTGCCCGAGGCAGGTGCTATTGTCTTGGGTTTGCAGATAAAGGAAACAAGGCACGTAAATGTTAAACAACTTGCCCAAAGTCATACAGTACTGTCAGGATGGGAATCTAAATCCAGGGCCGTGTGTTTACAGCTGATGGTTTTCTATGATGCCAGTCTCTCTAAATCCCCAAATTCCAACCAGTTCACGTGAGCAGTTTTTGGCTTGAGAGCCCTCAGTGAACTTGTTGGATGGTGAGGACCAGGCTTTGTGCCCCTGAAATGACCCCATGTGCCAGGTTAGGCATTTGTGCCTGGGGCTGGGTTTCTTTTGAGCCTGAGTGCTGTGTGGTCCTTGTTAACAGTTGAAGCTGAGGGCTTTGAATGATTACTTCTCTGCTTTGAACGGCCATGCTCCCTCCCTGATCCTCAGAGTGTCCCCACGCCTATTGAACCACAAATGTCGTATTAATGTGGAATCAACTCTGGCACCTGGATGGGCAGAAGTTCTGGAGGCTAGGGGTCTAGTGAGAGACCCTGCAGCAATCCGTACTAGAGAGGACAGGTCTGGCCTACAGAGAGGACGGGAGAATGGGAGAGGTCAAGGACTCACCAGGATGTGGGAGGTACAAAGACCAGGTTGTAGGGAGGAAGCAGAGTCCATGGAGAAAAAGCTGTCTTACTCAGCAACAAGTCACTTTTTCTGGCCCCCAGCCACCCCTCAGAAGAGATGAATAAGTATTTTGATATAATATTCAAGGCTTTTCATGGTATTATCCATGCCTTTGTCTGCGAGCTATCTCCTAGTGATACTACACACAGACACGTGCATGTGCAGCCCCTGCATGCCCCTGTGCCTTTGCACCAGCAGCTCCTTCCCTCTGGAGTGTGCTTTCCCCCAGTTTCACCACACAAGCCTGATCATTCTGAGCAAGTCCCCTGTAAAACTCTCCTGATTCTACCACCGGAAGGAGCCATTAACCACTTCCCCAGGGCTCTTATCTGTGTCTCACAGACTGCCCAACATTCCTCCTGCACTCCCAGCCTTGAGCCTCAGGCTGGACTCAGGCTGTGAGCCCTGCGAGGAATACTGGCTTGGGGACAGATTCAAGAAACACCCCTAAATGACTGAATTGCCCTCTTTTTCCTTTCAGACCAGGTAGAGGTCGGGTCAGGCTGGGACAGAGGCCACTGGGGAGAAGTGGGGAGGATACAGATCTGGAAAATCTCATGTTGACATCAGGGTCACAGGGTGAGGTCCCGTGGCCAGTGACAACGTCTTGAGCAATCATGAAGCCCTGTGAGTAATGCAGCCTGGACCATGTCCTCCAAGCTAGAGGCACGAAAATGCCCTGAAGATTTAGTTTGGGTCCACTCACACTTGTTTTGGTTAAGAAACAACCCCCGGGTGCTTTTCCTGTGCAGCTGTTTCCCCCAATGACATTAAGTTGCTGGACTCACCCGCTTGCTTTTCCTGGGATCAGTATTGGAATCAGACAAAACCACAGAGGCTCTGGGCTCAGACCCAGAAGTAAAGCTGGGAACAGGGCAAGAGCGAGTCTGGACCATGTACCTGAGAATGATGGGGGACAGGGGTGGGGCAGGAGAGAAAGCAGCTCCTCCGTTTTTCTGCCCTCAGACTGCATTCCCAGGACGCCTCTGGATGAGGGGATCCATGGGTCCAGCTGGAAGGGACATTAGTGTCCCCTTCTTCTTGCTGTTTACAAAGCCTGTACCAGAGGGCCCTGGGAGCCCCCCAGGTCCTTCTGAGGCTTCAAGGAGGGAAGGTGAGATAAGGACAGAATGGGGCATGGAGACCTGCTGGACATGGCGACCTCCTGCATGAGTTTTTGTTTGAAGGAACAGACCACTCCTCTCACTTACAGGCAGGAGGCTGAGGCCAAGGAGGGAAGATACAGGTCTCACGTAGAAGTAGAGACAGACAGATGGCCCCTTGCCCCTTGCCCTGCCCCTGTCTGCAGTGATCCTTCGTTTCCCTTCCCCAGTTTCCTGGAGTGCATAATTTCAGCATTTCCTAACGCTGCTGGGGGCCAGACTTGGCTAGGTGTGGAAGGGTGATGGGGAGGTTTGGGAGGGCAGAACTCTTCAAAGGCACCCGCTGGAATGCACAGCTCTCGGTCAGGTGGTCCCCCAACCCAGGGTCACTGGCCAGAGCCAAGATGACTTCACATCAGTGGTTATCAACCTTGGCTGCATGTTGGGGAGCTTTGAAAACTAACATCTGTGTCCCATCCGCCATTGGGCCCTATATAGCCCAGCATGTATGCTGGTCACTGGGAATTGTAAAAGCCCCTCTGGTGATCCAACATATGACCAGGGTTGAAAACCACTACTTTAGGAGATAATTGCATGTCTGTGAGCTTGGGGACACCAGAGACAGTCTTTGCCTGCTGTCATGCCAAGGGAGTCTTCTCAGAGAGAGACACATTTCACCAACCAATCTCCCAGTCAGAGAAGGGAAAGGGGCCTCTATCCCAAATCTCACCAGGAGGCTGTTCCATTCCACATAGAGCCACAGGTACTGTTGTATAGCCTGTGCACTGTACAAAGGTGTCCTGTGGGGGACGGGTGGTAGGGCTGGGTTTCAGCTCTGCTGGCAAAGCTCTGTGTTCTAGCACCGTTCGAGGGATCTACTGGTAGGAGGGTGAGCCTTTCTCTATTTTTCACCAAGATGTCACATAGATAGCAGAACTCTGCTCCCCTGTTCCGGAAACTGGAGGGAGGACAGGAGAAAACACCGCGGTCGCAGAGTCTGATTTGCCTGTGCCATGGTCACCAGCACCAGCGTCCCCTGACTTCCTGTTTCTAGTGCTCTCTGTCCCTGTTGCCAGGATGCCGATGCTCCAGCTCTCTGGCACGTTAGTCCTGTCCGTCCTGGGGGCGGGGAGGGGGGGGGGGGACGGGGGGGGGGGAACGCCGGAACAGCTGGCCGGGAGCAAAAGCGAATGAGAGCTGATAGCTAAGTTTTCAGGAATTTGGCAATTTTCACAGACATCATTAGAAATTAAATTTTATAAACTTAATTTTATGAACAACGAAATAAATTATATTAAAAACAAAGGGAATACATACTCAACACACCTCGCTTCCTAATTATTTTACTACATTTTAGTATTATCTACATTCTTAAGGTTATTTGCACCTTTTGTGTATGCATGGTGAAAATATTATTGTGAGGGTTGATTTTGTATATCATATAAATATATTATATCTGTCTTTATAATATATTTTATATAACTATACTGTAATACATTATATACATAATATGCTATATATATGAATATACGTATATTCATATATCTCCTGTCGGTTCTGTTTCTAGGAAGAACTGAATTCATCTATATATTGAGCTGCTACCACACATCTCTTGGCAATTGCTTGTTCAGCGAGCATGCTGGTAGTTTGAAATTGGTGATGGTGGGAGTATTTACATTAAGAAAATCAGTAAACGTTATCAATCAGGACTTAACATTTTTTTCCTTCCAGACAGCCGGTTGTTAGGCATTTGCCAGCACACCTCTGGCCATTCCCTCCCCTGCTGACTCTGTGCCCCCCTCCCCCCCACCTTCGGCTGAGGACTCCTTCCTCGGGGCAGAGAATGCTAGCTCTCCACCAGATCTGTTCTCCCCTCCTTCATGGGCATGCCCAGATGCCCTCCATTTCCCAGTCTCCTTGCAGTTCCGTGTGACTGTGTCCTGGCCACTGTTTAGGAGCTGACGTGATGCGGCCGCTTCTAGTCCTGGCCACAGGACTCCTACCTGCAACACTCCACCAGGCTCGTCTCCCTTTTCTGGTGCCATCTTGGAAGTCCATGCAGGAGAAGGGAGAAGCCCTGTAGTCTGGGCCCTTGAACAACTAGTGAGGCCAAGCCCCCCCGTCAACCTGGAAATATCCTGGATGCCTATGAGAGGGAGAGTCATTACCTAGGTGGTCCTCTTTGTTACTCCAGCTGAACTTCCCATCAGATATACCCTCTGGCTGCCCTTCTTTGCCCTTCAGATTTGGGATGTACCATTTTGGACCCTGTTTCAGCATCCTCTCCCTGCTCAGAGCCCCATGGTTAGAGTTCAGCACCTTTACTGTCTCCCTCATTACCCATCCCTGAGACCACAAGAACCTTCTAA